GAGTAAGGAACTGGTGCTTTGCTCCCCCCAAGGGGAAGAATATTGTGGGTCTCCAAGCATAGATGGAAACTTAAAACTGTGACTTAATTTCATGTTACAATCTGGGTTGAAGAAGGAGAAACAGGTTTAAACTGAAAACAAGGTGTAGTATTGGAAGCACTTCTTAGCTGATACCACATTAATTTAAAAATTGGAAAAAAAAAAAAAAAGCTGCCTTTTTCTCTGAAAGGAAGAAAAGCTCAGTTCTCATCTACTCATTTACACACCTGACAAATTGGCAACTGAGTTGACCTGGAGATTTTTAACACTGACAATTTAGGTCTGAGGCTTATTTAATATGTTTTTACTTTCCACTAACACTATGTATAAGGGGAGAGAGTAGAATGCTCTTTTAAAAATACATTTATTTGAAGTGGGGTTTTTTTCCCCCATCGTGATTCTGTTGTACAACGTGCCAGGTAAGTTCTGAGTAGTAAACCCGGTGTTCTTGGGAATGAGTAGAAGCATTCCTATTTCTGGCCTCTTTTAACACGTTTTTAGAATCATTGTTCTTTATTGAGTATTGCTTATAAATCTTTATTTTAGCTCCAGTTTCTCTGGAAATGCTGTACCTTGAATTTCCAGGGCTAAGATGGGTTTCACCCACTTGATTATCCTCAGTGTTGCAGAAAACACTTGCAGTTGTTATTTTAACAGTTCCTGCTTGTGGGAAAACCGAGGGAGTCATGGAGGAAGGAGGTAGGGACACTCCACCTGGGTGTTTAAAAACGAACAGCCAAAAAAAAACCAAACCACACAGGACTAAATCTCCTCTGAGTACCTGGTGCCACAAATACTTAAGCACGTGAGAACCTTCCTGGGCTTGGTTAATCTAATTGAAGACCCGACTAATCCGGGGAAGCCTACAGATACTCACGTGGGTAAAACCATTTTGCACGTGACTTTGACCTCCGTGAAAGTGTCGACTGCGAGTGTGTCAGGATTCGGGACTGACCACACTGCTCTTTCACACACGTGACATCTAGATAGTGCACAGGTGTATAACCATATCACATCACGGCGTGTCATGTCGCACATCCTCTCTATCCCTGAGCCAGTATTTTTGGTCCTTTTCTATTTCCATTTTGCAGTTTCCATGAAAAAGAACATTGAGAATGTACCCAAAATATGAACTTATGTATTGTAGTCGGATGTGAAATTGTTTGCAGAGTGCTGAGGGACTCCTGGTGACTGTAAGGAGACCAGAAACTATCTTTGGCAGGACCCAAGCAGTGTTGGAAGGCGTGGAGGTGTAGGGGGTAGCTGGCTCAATCCCACATGGCTCATAGGTGGCTGTGCCTGTTGAAAAAGGGTGTTCAGTTTCTAAATAACATGGTTTTAAAAGTACTTGTCACCTAAAATGAGCACATTTTAATTTATTTTTTTTTTTAATTAATTCCCTGTGACTTGTGATTGGAAGTATTTCCATGGCTGGGTGTTGACTGAAACAAAAAAGAAAATTTGATTGCTATCTGTCCCACACCAGAAGAGCTGCTGAATGCACGGTTGTCGTCCTAAGCATGAGGTAGCTAGAGAGCGCTTTTGATCTGAGATCCTAAATGTAACAATGGCTTCTATTAAAGCAAAGTTTCTGAGTCTGCTTAGTCTTCACATACCATCCCCTTTCATCGTGTTCCTCAAAATTTGCCCCTGCCTAAAAATGATGCTGGTGGCAGTTGAATTCTGGTAAAGAATGCAGATTGGGCCACGCAGTTAGTCTGGGCTGACAACTGATGCTTTTATGTTTTCAGACAGTATTAGAATTAACATGGTGGAGCTGTTGTCGTTTCTCTCCTCTGATAAGCACGCGTGTTCTCATTTCCACAAATCTGAAAGCTGCTGATACCTTTAAAAGACCAGATGAAATGCAGCTGGACGACTTATTTTGAAATTGTGGTTTGAATTACTTCAGTAGGTTTACCTCTTAAAGCCACTTCACTGTTGGGAGTTAAACTGGATTTTTTTGGAAGTAATGTTACAGCATGTAGAACAGTAGTTTTGAGTATGAGTGATTCAAGCCACTTCAGAATTAGCAGTGCTAACCAAGCTTACAGATTATTTTCCTAGACTTTCGTTTATCGTTTGCATTTCGTATTCCCTCGTCGCTATTAACATGCCAATATCGGAGGTGGGTATATACGTTAGAATTTTCCTGCTGAAGCTGCCAAAAGAATTTTCTGCAAAATCACTTCTTTGAACTCCCTCTGGTTTCACAAACAAACAATCCAGGGACGGAGCAGCCAATTTTCCCGATGGCAGCCTCTTGCATCACCTGCAAGACGGTCCTGACGAGGAGCGAGGGGAAGGTGGGCGTCAGGGGCTGCTCTGCCTGGTGCAGACATTGATGATGTTCTCTGGAAACTCCTTCAGCTTTTCCTACAGCTCTTTTGGACGAAAGTTGGTTGTTCCCCTGCCCCTGGCCGTGTTTCTACCAGGCAGCTGGCATTTCCCGCCCTTTGGTGGGCATCACAGCATTGGTTTCAAAAAGCCGTTTTGTTATTGTGCATATACATATGTGCTCTTCACAACAACAGGTTGATACTGGCACTTTCATGGAAGACTGTGTGAGGCACCTGCAGGATGGACATCACGAGGACCACCACTTGGCTTCTTCAAGGAAACAGGGACATGTGAGCCCGTTGCCATCAGTTGTCCCCTCTGCATGTGTGGTAACGGACCCCACCACGGCCCCTCCAGCACCGAGGTACGTGATGGAGGTGGAGGCCTCCTTACCACAGGCTGCACGAGCTGCCTTCAGGTGGGTGATCAGCAGTCGACACCAGGTCACAGGGTAAGGAAAGGCCTGAAAAAGCAGGGAGCAACCTGTTTTCCTGCTGTTGAAAATTTCATACAGATACTTAACTTTGTTCACTGGCTTTCTCAGCCCTGGCTGCTCCTGACACAGCCTGTCACCGTGGAGCATCCCAAATCCTGCCCTCAGCAGGTGACAGCAGAGCTAAAATCTTCACAACAGGCCCCTTGTACCCAGCTTTACTCTCTTACAAATCAGGCATTGATGACCATTTTTTGCTTCTAACTGATCCAAACAGACTTTGAGCCCTGACTGGGTTATTTGTGCAGAACTTTAAAAATGGATGAGATTACCTGGTAAGTGTGAAACGCTGGTTCCCAGTTAAAATACAGCCTCAGCATCTCCTCTGACCACAGATGATGTAGGGGTTGGATGCACGCAGGAGGACTAATGCTCAAGGTTACTGTGTCACCCAGTGAGCTGTTGCCTTAATTTCCAGCTGACGGCACTTTCTGAGCAGGGCACAGTAAGGGACTGAACCGAGCACCGACTGCGGGGACACTCAACGCCCGCCGCTCAGGAGGTAAGAAAGATTGGAAGTCAAAGCCCACCTGAGCTGGGAAAGCAGGGCTGGAGCTTCCCTTCAGGGGGCAGGCAACAAGTCTACCTGATTAAAAATTTATTTTTTATAATAAGAAAGCTCTACACAGCGAGCCCCACCACTGGAGACTGCCATCGTCACAAGGGCTGACAGCAAAACCTGGCTGATGGGAATAGACTAACAGAGCCAAGGACTAACTGAGATGAGTTCCGTTTCTAGGATAAAAACCTGTTCCATGTCTAAGCCTGGGATTATTTTTATTTTTCCTTAGAGCTGGCATACTTGCCCTTTGCTATTAGGAAAGGCAACCAGAGAGCAGCTGGCCTGAGGGCAGCGTGGTAGTGCACTGGTGCAACTGAGGACAATATTTGCAGCCATTTATATTCATGTCACAGCATGGATTCTTAATAGCCTTCCTGCCAAACCTTGCTCAATAGTCCATTTGGAGAACCTATGGATCAACTTTATTTTTAAAAGTTTGACGTTGCACTCTGCAGTGGGAAAGTGATTGAAAAAGGTGGCCAGAGGAAAGTGCTACTTCCCATATTTATTTTTCTATTATTTCTGTATCTTGTCTGCTGTATCATCAAGTTCAGCCATTGGCTCTGAAACTGGCACATTTTGTTCTACCTAATTGCCTATGATAAAGACTAAGGAATAAAAATATAACTATTGCTTATGGTACTTTGGCATCGAAGAGCTTGTTCTGCTGTGTTGCCATGGTGGGAAATGCTGGGTAATAACCAAACTTTATTTGTAAAATAAGTGTATTTTCTTGGATCAACAGTTTTTCTGCAGACCTGCTTCCACGAGGGTACTTCTTGAGGTGACTTTTCAAAGGTCAGTACCTTCCTGTTGGAAACAATTCCTATGTAAAACATTTTGGCAGGTATCATCTTGCTTACCTGTTATCTTCAAATAATGATGAAAGAGGCTGGACCTGTCCCTGCTGGATTTGGGGCTGGCTGGAGCAGAGCACTTGTCCTGCAGCCCCAAAAGGTCCTGTTGAGGCAGGATAACGTTCAGCCGATTCCCGTTATTTTCCTTCACAGTTAATAAGGTGAAAATAGCAGCTGCTTCCTCACTTCCAGATACTTAATTTCTTTAATTTCGGGTCTGACTGTGCATATACATGGAGATCTTGCAGATTTTGACACACGGGGGTACTAAGCATGACTTCACATGGGCTCTCTGGGACTTCACCAAGCGGGTGATGAGAACTGGGACGCACCAACTATTTGCAAGCCGTGATTTGATTCTTGCGGATTTACCTGCAGGGTTGCTACCCCATCGTGATGAGGATGCTGGCTTAGAGGGGTGGGGGTGAGGGGGGGGCCGCAACCCCCCTCTAGACATTGCACCTTGCCCAGTACCCGGTCTTAATCCAGACCGGCAAATCTCCCAGGCCAGATAATCCCGTTGCAAGCTGTCCCTGCCGCCCCCGGAGGGGCTCGAATTAGGTCAACGGGGTTTACATTTGCGTTTTATTTATTTATCTAATTTTTTTTTTCCTGGATACACGCACACACGCCCCCTCCCCCGTGGGCTCCCTGAAGCCCGAAGGAGGCGGGGAGGGAGGCGGGGAGCGGCGGGAGCTTTACCCGATGGCAGCGGCTGCCCGGCGGCGGGTGCCAGCGGCGGCCGGGCCATGGCGAGGAGCCGGGCGGTTTACGAGTACACGGAGGCGGAGGACAAAAGCATGCGGCTGGGCTTCCTCCTCATCGCCGCCGGTCTGCTCTCCCTGCTGGGCTTGGGGTGCTGCTGGCTCCGGCCGGCGCTGCAGGAGCGGGGCGGCGGCGGCTCCGCCAACTGCACGGTGCTGGCGGTGCGGCAGCTGGGGGAGCGCTTCGCCTGCACCTTCTCCTGCGGGGCCGCCTGCCGCGGCACGGCCCGCTACCCCTGCCTCCAGGTCCTGGTCCGCACCTCCCGCTCCTCCGCCCCCGCGCTGCTCCATGAGGACGAGCGGCAGCTCCGCACCAACCCCAAGGTGAGACCCGCGCTCCCGAGATGCGGGGTGGGACCCGCAGGGGGAACCCTCTCACCCCCACTTTGCGCCCTTCTTGGGGGGTCGGGTCCCCCGCAACTGCCCTCCGCCCGGGGGAGGGTTTTTCTCTTGGGGTGGGGGGGGGAGGATGAACGAAGTTGCGGGGCATCCCTCCGAAATGCCCCTGTGCGACTGTTACTCAGCAAAAGGTATATATGTAGTATCGATAAAAACGCTATACGGGGGTGTGTGTGTATATATAGTGTGTGTATATATAGCATAGTACTACACCATGCTAGATAATATAGTATAATATAACGCTACACACACTATAATATAACACTACACACACTATAACACTACACACACACACACTATATAAATACATAGTTGTTTTGGTTATTTTTGCCTTGAACAGCCCCAGGTATCCCTCCCCCGGGAGCGGTCCTGCCCCAGCGCACCCCTCGGCCACCCCCGCCGCCGGTCCCTACTCCCCGGTCCCCGGTCTCTCTCCACCCGGGACGCCGGTGGGAAGCCGGGGAGAAACTCCCGCTGCCGGCGAGGAGGTCTGTCTGCCCGAGCGGTGCCCGATGCTGCTGCGCTGCCTGTCCCCGAGGGTGAGGGGCTCCCCAGAGCAGGTCCCCCAAGTGCAGGGAGAAATCTTAGCGGAGCCGCTGCTGCTGGGGCGCTGGGGAGAGGGCTGCAATGAAACAGAAGTTTCCTCTCTGCTCTTCTGCTTCTGAAACTTCTCCATCACCCAGATGAAAATGGACTATACAGAAATGCCTTTAAAGTTGCATTTTTCAGCAAACTTCAGCAAAGCCTGAAGGCAACCTGTGACTCGTGCTTTTTCTGTCTTTAAAGGCACTTGTTCTGCTTTCTCCTTTTTCTTTTCAAGCTGAGTAAGGACCAGCTTGCCAGCACACTGCCCGTGTCAACATTTTGTTCAGTAGTTTCCACAGAATTAAAAATGTGGCAGAATCTTCCCCTTCCTCCCTGAAAGAACCTGAAATGGGGAGTGTATAGGAGAAGCAAATTTCAGGTCTTTGGTTCAACGGTGATGTGGATGTAGCTCAGCGCTAAGGGTCATGTAAGCATGATGCAGGGGTCTGTGTGCAGGCGTTGGGGACCAGACTTGCATGCCCAGTTTGGGATGTGCAGCCTGAGGTCTCCGCAGTCAGTGTTACACCAGTGTGGAGCAGTCCCTTGGAAGGTGCATTAAGTTGCAAGTTCAGGGGCCAGGGGCTGCTTTTTTTTCCTCCCTTGGCAGTTTGTGGGCTCGAAAGGGTGATGGGGGCAAAAATCAGCAAAGCAAGAAGCAGGATGATAAATCTGGCAGGATTTGGATTGAATTGTTGGCACCACTCAGAAGCGACAGCGATGAAGCTGCGGTGCTGGATGGTGCCTGACAGCAAAGCGAGTGAAACGTTGGCCTGTGAGAGAGCCCTGCAAACGTCACCTGTCCCTGGGGGTGCTGCTGCCAGAGAGGGTCCCCACAGAGAGGGCTGTGGCTACAGAGAGGTGCACCATGACTGCCCAGCTGTCTGAGCACCAGGGCTTCTCTAAACCTCTCTCTGTCTTCAGGCAAGTTGGGGGTAGTTGGTGAAACGCCCTTTGGTGGTGGGGTGAAGATGCTGTGTTGCTGCAGAGGGTGCAGTGTGGTTGTTCCTGAGCGTGGCCTGCCCTGTTTTGCCCATCTCCAGGAGGGATGGGAGGTGGGAGCTGGGTGGAAGGTGGAGAACCATGCCACCAGCACACCTAGATTCAGCAACTTCTGCAGCGTCCTCAGTTTCAGCAGAGGCTTTCAACTGCAACACCTCTCCAAGTAGTTTGAGTGTGGATTTTTTTTTTATTTCTTGATCCTGTCTTCTCCTGCCTTTCTGGAAGTCTGGTGGGAAGTGGAGGATTGCACCTGCCCAGGGGCTGGATTGCTATTTCTGCAGGGAGATACCCAGAGTTTTAGCAGCAATCCTCGTAAACATCACTCAGAAGGGACCCGTTATTTAGTAATTAATAAGGAATTAATAAGGAAATGCAGGGCTGTGTGTTGGCAGCACGTTGGACTTGCGTGCTCTTGCAAATATAATCTCTTTTCTCTAGCTTGTACCTTGTGTCTCAAGGTGTGGGCTGTTTACCCTGGGATATTGATTGCTGATGACTGAATCTGATTTACCAGATGAGACCAAGCAGAAAGGATGGGGTTTTTGGTGGGGTTTTTTTGATGTAGCTGCATTCTCCGGTAGTAATTGAATTCAACTAAGTGGAAAACAAGAGAAAAAAATGCACTCCAATTATTTTCCTTACCTTAGGAAGCTTATGTAAAACCAACACAAAATAAGAAGAAAAGTTGTTTAGGTCTCATAGATCTTAGTGACATGGTTTAGTGATGGGGTTTTTTTATTGGATTTAGGTTGATGGTTGGACTAGATGATCTTACAGATCCCTTCCAACCTAGACTATTCTATGATTCTATGATTCTAAGTATGTTTTAATGAAGTACATATAGCTGCCACTTTGGTTTTCTCTTTCTCCTCTAGTTCAATGTGTGTGGAGCTGAACAGTTGTACTCTCCTTTTAATTTTTGTACTAAAGTATCACCGTCTTTAAAAGCTTTCAGGTTTTTATGCTGAAATAGGTTAGGCATAGCAAGAGAGTAGGAATTTGCTGGATTTAATGCTTAGGATCCAGTATGTATTTATGAATGAGCACTTTGGGAGCTGTTTAACTCTCCCTGTTTCCACTGCCTTCTCACAGCATGCTGGCTTGTGGTCGTGCAATTAGACATAGGACAGGCTAATTAGTGCCATCTAACTAGAAGGGAAAAATAAAAGGAATAATTTTGTTTTGAATGGTCTTAAAATTTTATGTTCCGTCAAGCCGCTTCTCTGTGTGGGGTAGAAATTCTTCCTGGTAAATCAATAGTACAGAACAGGGATAGTTCAGGCTCCTTACCCTGTGAAACAATACTGAGTCAGTTGGCAGTTTCACTCTACCCCAAAAATCCCCAGTGTATTGGACTAAAAATATTCTACTTTCTGTAGTAGAGTGGGCTGACATATAAACACATCGGCAGCTACAAATCTGTCTGTTCTAGCGCGGTCTAGCTGCACAAAAAAGGAATTTTTTTTTTTTTCTCTCCTGTTTCCTAAGATAATCACATCATTGTAGAGCCCAGGATTGATTTTAGCTCTTAAAAGATTATAAAGCTGGGTCAGAGTTAATCTAGAAATGTATATATAAAGCACCGGGCATGGTGACATTTGTGTTCATTCTGAGTGATTTGCGGATTTCTTTTTTTTTTTCTTTAATTGTTCTATCAGAGGAAGAAATTTCAGCAGGGGGATGGTAGCCTTTCTTCAGATGCCTTGATAGGAATAATAATCTCTGAGATAAGGCTTAAGGGGGATTAATTCCCAAGTCAATTTGTCGCTATCGTTCCGGCCATCGCATGTGTTGGCAGCACATATAGCCAGCGCGGGGACCAGGCTATGGGTTTGGTTGGGCAAAAATGCGAGATGAGCACGTCAGCTCCTAAGAAGATCTACTTTCTGGCTTTTTAGACTTTTCCCTTTCTGTGCTTAAAGTTAAGTGTAGGGCCAGAGGAACTTGCCCTCTCTTTTGGTGAAGAAACTTTGAGGGGAGTGACTGGTGAGCCTAATGTTAGCAGCTGTGCAGCAGGACTGGGTTGTCCCTGTCCCCATCCCCAGGCAGGGCAGCAGGGCAGCCAGCTGCTGCTCCTTGGCTGTGCGTGCTCCTCTTGTACTTCTTTCCCTGACTGCTCAGCCTGCTGAGGTGACGTGCAGCTATCTCTTCTCTGCACTTGTAAATTGAATTGGTTTGGGGTTTTGGACTCTTAAATATGACCCATGACAGAGGAGGTTAAATACCCAACCCTACAATAATTTTGGGATGGTCTGGTGCATCTGGTGAAGCATCACATCTGTTGTTCAGGCTGGTGCCCACGATGGGCAAACTCTACAGAGGCTGCCTAGTGATTTCACTGGAAGCAGCCCCAGGTGCTGCAGAGAGACCCCACCGCCCTCCCATCTCACCTGGGGCACCCCTCGCTGCCTTGAGCCCCTGTGGGGGGTTGTGGGTTTGGTCACTCCTGGTGGGTTTGTCTGTGCTGATGGATGCAGGTGAAAACCAGAAGTGATGCTCAGCTCCAGCTCCCTCGGTACAGTCAGCTGGGAGGGGGGCACCTTTTTGTACTAATGGAGAGAGTCCCCCCCACTCATCTCCTGCCACAGCAGGATGGTTGTGACAGTGATTCCTCCCTTCCAGGCCATGAAGATAATCCAGTACCGCGCGGAGATGCTCACACACAAAGTTTGGAGAAGTTCATACATTGCTTGATGTGGTGGGTTGATCTTGGCTGGATGCCAGGTGCCCACCAAAGCTGCTCTGTCACTCCCCTCCTCAGCTGGGCAGGGGAGAGAAAATATAATGAAAGGCTCATGTGTTGAGATAAAGACAGGGAGATCACTCAGAAATTACCGTCATGGGCAAACCAGACTCAGCTTGGGGAAATTAATTTAATTTATTGCCAATCAAGTCAGAGAAGGGTAATGAGAAATAAGACTAAACCTTAAAGCACCTTCCCCCCACCCCTCCCTTCTTCCTGGGCTCAACTTCACTCCCGAATTGTCTACCTCCTCCCCCTGAGAAATGCAAGGGGACAGTGAACGCAGATTGCAGTCCGTTCACCGCATGTTGTCTCAGCTGCTCTATCCTTCTCACACTCTTCCCCTGCTCCAGCGTGGGGTCCCTCCCACAGGAGACAGTCCTCCATGAACTTCTCTGATGTGATCCTTCTTGTAGGTTGCAGTTCTTCACAAACTGTTCTAGTGTGGGTCTCTTCCACGGGGTGCAGTCCTTCACGAACGGACTGCTCCAGCATGGGTCCCCCACAGGGTCACAAGTCCTGCCAGCAAACCTACTCCAGTGTGGGCTCCTCTCTTCATGGGGCCACAGGTTCTGCCAGGAGCCTGCTCCAGCACAGGCTTCTCACAGGGTCACAGCCTCCTTCGGGCATTCACCTGCTCCAACGTGGAGTCCTCCATGGGCTGCATGTGGATATCTGCTCCACCATTAACCTTCATGAGCTGCAGGGGGGCAGCCTGCCTCACCATGGGCTGCAGAAGAGTCTTTGCTCTGGTGCCTGGGGCACCTCCTCCCCCTCTTTCTTCACTGACCTTGACGTCTGCAGGGTTGTTTCTCTCACAGATTCTCATTCGTCTTCTCCAGCTACTGTGTCACAGCAGCTTTGTCCCCCTCTTAAATATGTTACCCCAGAAGCTCTACCACCATTGCCAACGGGCTCAAATTTGGCCAGTGACGAATCCCTCCTGGAGTTGGCTGGCACTGGCTCTGTTGGACATCGTGGGGAAGCTTCTAGCAGCTTCTCGCAGAAGCCATCCCTGTGGCCCTCCCACTACCAAAACCTTGCCACACAAATGCAATACAGTTGGAGATCAGAAGTCAGCAATTGTTGGCTTGAAAGGTGCATTATGCTTTTGCAATGATACTTATCTAGAGCATCCTTTCCTTTCACTGCAAGCTTCCCAACCTGCACAGCACACCATGTGGGGGCTCTCTGCCATGCCAAGCAAACAATATGTGCTGTGTCACTTGGAGACTGAGACTGGAGACCAACTTCTCAGTGCCATTGGTTTGTCTTCTGATGGGCTGAGCCACTTCTGCTTTGGGCCCATACCTCTCTTTGCATTTGAGACTTCTTTACTCGCATCTTGTGGACAGTGTCTTCCAGGCTTACGACAGCTTGCTTCAGAGCCTACCAACCCTGGCTTCTTTTTCATAAAAGTGTGACGGGTTTACACAGGAGTTTGTCTTTGAAAAGCATGAAATGCAACCTGAAATCTAAACCATGGTCAAGAGTTCACACCTCTCATTTCTCTGTGATATGGAAGAATATCTGCTTTGATGAAGCGTTCAGAGGGAACAGGAATCTTCCCAGGCATCTGCAGAGACACTGGAGTGCGAGAATCCAGCAGCAAACACTGATACAAATATTACAAACCCTTGGTGGAAAGGTATATTAGCTGCTCGCTGACATTTTTACTGAATTGAATCCTGAGTCATCTATCCAAACACGGGCTTTGATTGAAGGGGGAATATTATTAGCCTGATACTGATTTTGAGCTGTGTAATTGAGACCGTATTTGAATTACATAATAATTTTATCGTTGCTATGACATAGCGTGGGAGGTGCGATTATGGCACCGAGTATCAATAGATCTGCTGAAAAGGGCTCCGCTCCATTAGATTTATTCTGAGTGTCTAATCTTAAGTGCTGTTCTCCAACTTCATTATAACTTGTTTAAGGAAAAAAAACACCAAAGACATACAGAGTGCACACTTCCACTGAAAATGGATGTTGCTGCCCAAGCTGTGATTGAGCACAAGGCGTCCCAGCTTCCCCTCAAACACTTGGTATTTGTTTATGTTTTGATGGTAGGATTTCATGCTGTGTCTTGTGGGGGAGGACTGTAGAATTAACCTTTCAGAAACTGCCAGTTGCCAAAGGGGGAGGTCGTTTCAGGTTCAACCATCAACTCACAGCAGTGAAAGTTGCCAGGTTATGATTCCCTTTTATCCGTGTGCTGATGGGGCTTTGGAGGGCCATACAGCTGATCAAGCAAAGTCCCCAAGAAGTGTGCCTGGGAGACTGAGAAAAGAGAGATCCAGCACCTACATGAATCAGAAGGGGGCAGAATGGGCATCAAGTTGGTGGGAACTGTGCTGGCATCCTGGGGAGGCAGTCAAGCTCCAGTGTTTGCACAGCAGGTGATAAGTCCACATTGGAGTTGGACCTTGGGTGTTGACTGTGGCTCAAGGCCTTCATCACATTGAGGAGATGTTTCAGGGTGACCCTTGGGATTCATAGGATGATGGTTTTGCCTTGGGCAGGGACCACTCCTCTCTTCAAGACAGTTAATTCTTGACAGGCTAAAGCAATGAGTTCCCATAGATTTATGGTTAACTCCTGTGTGTCTCCTTTGTGTTTCCACGCGAAAAGATGGCAATGAATCCAGCATGTTTTCTGTCGTTGGAATTACTTATGCAGAGAGTGGTGTAAAGTGAGAGTTAGAGAGCATATTCACTGCTTTCCCCAACTTCAGGTGTTGCTCCCATAGGTACTGGCAATTCTCCCATACACTGTCTTGCCTTGGCATGGGGGAAGATGGACATGTTGATCGGGGAAGCTCTCTGTGGGGCCCTTTACATCTTCCAAAACAAACAAAATGCCTGCCCTAAAAATCTCAATTTTTAATAGCTTATATTGAGCTAGAAGTGTAGGGACTGATGTCAAAAATTGAAAAACCCTCTGTGATGAACCTGTCATTGGACAACGCTACAGCTTGCTATTTTTCCATTCAGATGGACATCTCTTGAGAAAAGAGACCTCCACAGCTGTTTCTAAGCCTGAAACTCAGGACAGGAATAAAAAATGATTCACCAGGTTGTGATTTTTTGAAGGATTCATGTAATATCTTGGGCAGGTGGAAGGTCTTGGAAGGATCTGGAGAACGTTTGGTCAGCAGAGCAGTGGTGGTGGGGTCACATTTTCATAGTGTGCTGGCTAAATAGTGGTTGGTTTGGGGAACTCGGAGTAAAGCCTGTTTACTTCTACTCTCTTGTATCCCTGTATGGAAAGAGTGTATCTAAAAGTTGAGGCCTTGGGAAAGGGCAGAGTGCAGATTACAGTCAGATGTAGGCAATGAGTGTACAACTGGTGGGATGTGTCCACAGCAGGATCTGAAAGGCTTCATGAAGAAAAACACCGGAGACAGCTGGGAATGTCAGATCCTGGACCGAGCAGGGAGCACCAGGAGGAGACCAGGTGGGATGGTGTGGCACGTTGGTGGCTGTCAGGGGAACAGAGCAGAGCCAACATTGTTCTTGGGTGTCTTCGTGCCAAATCTGCTGACTCCATCCAGCTGCTGAACAGATGCGTTTGTGCACTAGGAAGGTGGAGGAAAGAGGAGTGTCCTTGATGTGTCCAAAGTACACAACCAAACCAAAACCATTTCTGGCTAAGGAATATCATCTAAGATGGAAATAACTGTGTGTGATAAATCATGTGTTCTGATTTCTGAAGAAGAGTGATGTTGCTGCTCTTTCCTGTCCTTTGTTGTCAGCAGTGGGACAATCCTTGTTTAAGGTCATCCTAACAGGGGTCAAAAGGGAGCTCTGTGCTGGGGCAGCACCAGATGTGGGCCCATGTGAAAAAGGCAATTTTCAGCTTGGAAGCAACAAGCAAGATCTTGCAGATTCTTCCAGTCTGAAACATGGAAGCTACTGGCAGCAATTGTTAAGTGCTGACAGAAGTGATCAGGCTTAGCATGATCAGGCCAATAAAATCCTGAGATTTCTCCTATCCCCCTGGAATGGCAAAATTCAAGCTGTTGTATGGTGGAGATGGATTTGTAGGTCTGTACAGCTGGAGTATAGCATGCAGCTGGGTGCACAGTAGGCCCCTTTGAAACCTCACCAGATGGAGAAGGAGAGGAAGCACTCACTAGGCACAGTGAGCCATGGTGATATTTATTTTCAGGTTAGAGAAGGTATCTCTCTCCTTGTTGTTATTGCTTTCAGGATACCGTAAAGAAACTCATGCTGTGATTGTATGTGGGGAGCCCCTTAGGGGCTTCCCACACCTGCACCTCCTGCTTCCTCATCCTACCTAAGTACAAGGCTTTTTAGCCACCTTCACAGAGGTATTTTTCTACTTGCAGCTCCCAATTTTAAAGGAATTAAAAACTCTGTGTGCACCTTGAACCTTGCAGTCCATAAGTCCTCCCCGGTGACAAGCCTTTATGTTATCCAAGGATCAGCTTAGCTGTGTTACTCAGTTTGGTTCAACATCTCCTGTAATGATCTCCCGTGTGGACGCCTGGTAACAACAGGAGGGATTGTGCTTGGACACTGAGATCCTGTTACTCCCGACATCGGATTCGGTGGACTATTTGTTTTATATTGTTTAGCTCCCTGTGGCTGGGAGGGAAGGGTGGTGTGTCAAAGACGAGACTTGGAGCAAAGTTATGTGCATTGTGTGTGACCCCGAGAGGAGTCTCTGAAAGCCCAGTCCCAAGCGCACCGAGCTGGGGGAGGAACTTCCCTTGATCAGTTGGGGCTTTGAAGCAGATGTCTGAGGGTGAGATCTGCAGATAGCTCAGCTGCACGCTCAACTCTTGTTGACTTCTATAGAGCAGAAGCAGATGCTGAACCTTTCTGTTGAAGCGGGGCTTTGAACCTTCTGTGCTTGTTTCCCCATGTTGTAAGGGTGGAAGAACACTTGTCTTTTGCCAAGGGACATCAGCCAGGTATCAGATATCCCATCATCTGGGAAAGCTCACAGGAATATTTTGGTTATTTGGTGCTAAACAAAATTTGTGATTATGTGCTTCACTGAGAAAGCAAGTAATTCAAATCCATTCCATGCAACTGGCTAGGAATACGTCAAAATGAAATGATAATTTTTATATTCATCATGCAAATCCCCAGGGTGTTATGTGGCAGGTTGGTTTGATAATGGAACAAAATATGATAAAGCCTTTAGTTGTTTCTGGATGCCGGCATATTCTTTTCCAGTACCTGCAGGGAGTAACTAGCAATTCCAGAAAAGTTCAGCTAACTTTTCTCTTTTATTCCTTTGGACCTTGTACTTATCGTTCTTTGCCCATTTCAGTCACAATGGTATTATCAGGAAAATGCAGAGAAAGTGATGCCCTGTTTTCTTGAGCACAGAAGTAACTCTGTTCTGCAACGTGTGTTGGCAGTGCTCGTACATCCCTCCCTGCGCAAGAGACGACCAGGAGAACTCTGAGAATGTCACGTACAAGCAGAAATACTGGAAAGAGAAAGTGGGTTCAGAACCATTCACATGCTATTTTAACCAGCACTTGAGGTGAGTAATCTGCATTTGCATAGGCAGAAGTGCTTATGCATCTGTTTAGCAGCTGTTCGTTGGTTCTGTTTGAAAATATATATAAATGCATGCATATGTATATACACTCACACAGTGATGTGGTTTAACACACAGTTTAGTGCAGAACTTTGCAAGACAACTCCATTGATGAAAAGCTACATAGAAAGCTGAGAAGTGTTTTTATCACGTTTTTACCATACTTTTATCACCAAGTAAAAAAATAAAGCTCTGAGTAAAGTTTCCCTTAAAACATGTTATTTTATGGCCAAAAGCATCTTGGCTTTTAACACTTAGATGGAAAATTTCCTGTTTGGATATTAATGTTCCTTCTCTCCATTGAAGAGAAATCCTACTGTGTTCTTGAGGGGCTTGGAGACCAGTAAATTGTATGAACCAACTCAGTAATTGTGTTCATGGGAGGATTAATGAATCAGATACACGTAATAAATGCCCATGGAACTGCCAGTTTTCATACATGTTTGCAGAGTAGAAAGTTGTGACTTAAAGCTTCTCCTCTTCTGTTTCAATTCTTACTTTTACTGCCAATGTTGATGTGACTTATTTGCATGTAAGGGTGATGTGTGGTTTCCTTCCTTCTGTAAATGGGAAGAGGAGTCCTTTTGCCTGTCTCCAGTGATGATGTGCCGGGAAATAAAAGGTGGTGTGGCTGCAGCAACCTGCTGTTACTGGCAGTGTGCAGGCTCTCTGGGAGGACTTGGGAGAACAGCAATGATTGGGATGATTGGTCCATGTTGACAGGGAGGTGGAAAGATAATATTTAGGTTTTCCGGATGAGCCAAGGTTTTATGGGGTTTAGACTCCAATTCTGGAGGCATATGACAATTGCTTAACTGGATGAGCATGAGAAATTTTGGTAGAGCTAGGAAGAGTGTTCTGGGTTGCTAAATTGAGCACTCAAATAAATGTCTGCCACATCAGGAACTGAAGGAAGAACTGAAGGTCCTACCCCACTAGCACTTGGAAATTAAACAGATGAGGGACACTGAAGCAGGAGTAGCTTGGTGCTTGCTAGTACAATTCAGGCCTCAGTGTGGGAGTGTTTGCATCAGATATTTAAGTTTATTAAGACACACAGGAGGAAAATGGATGCCAGTGTGTGCTAGGGTCTTGGAGGAACAGGGGAGCTGGAGCAGGGTGGCAGGCAGAGAGGTGCCCAATGCTCTGTTGGTGGCCTGCTGAGTGCCTTGGGGGCTTTGCGTTTGCCCTAGGCTGGCTATGATTGTTGTCCTCTCCCTGGAGAGACCATAGACCTAGTCACCATACCCAGGACGACAGTCTGTTGTCCCTGGTTAACTCTTTGCAGAGGAAAACCACCAACGTTTTGTAGCAAAAAATATAGTGGAGAAAGAAGCACTGCCTACAGCATGCAGGGGTTAAAACTTAGGGCACCTATGCAGTGACATCAGACCTGGCAGGGACCTTCTTGGTCCATAAGTTGCCAATGCTTGTTTCTGCTAACCAGGAGCCACGTGATGATTTTGGCTTCTCTGGGCAGACAGGTGCTGCCAGTTCCCTGTGCTGCTGGGACCTGCAGGAGCCACTGCCTGAGTGAGCAGGATGGTTAGGAACATGGGATCTTCCACAGGAGATGTCATGGCTGGGATTCATCTGAGCTGGTATGGACAGATGCTGCAAAAACTAGTTTTTAGAGTCAGCGGAGAGAATAGGAGCCTTTTACCTTGCCCCGAAATAAACACAGGTTGGATGCCCAGAGATATTTATTTCTCTTCTGTAAGGAGCTTAGGATGATCTGATCGGGTGCAGGCACCTAGGTGGTGGGTGTCCGGAGCTGGGTGAGCTGGTTCTTACATCACATCAGTAAGTGAACCAAAAGCAACATCTTCTGAGGCTATGTACTGCCTAGGGACTGCCATTTCTGTAGGCTGACACTGAGGAATTGTGCAGCACTCAGGCAAGATTTTTTCGTTATAGTTGCTGTATTCTATACTGTTAAATGTTCTTGCCAAATGCAACGGCTGCCTTGAAACACTGCCTTTTGCTGATCATACAACAATTTATATACAGCAGAAGAGAGGCTTTCTGCCAGAGATAACTTGAGATAGTCTAAGCTGAAATATCTATTTTCTTCTGGAGATAGGAATGAGCTCTGAGAGATAAGTTTTGCTGACAAGGAATGTGCTTGTTTAGGTACACTTTTAGAGCTACGATGACTAAACTGCTTGTGAAGCAGTAAAAGCCCCCACAAACTGAGGGGAAAATCTGTTTCCTTCAAAACAGAAGTGTGCATATTTTCTGTCAGTATTTTTTTAACTGTGTGGATAATCTAACTCTTCTGTGTCAGTCTGTATAAAACATTAGAATACAGTGGTAGGTTCCTCAGGGGAGTAATATTTGCAATATTAATACTCTCTCTTTTGAAACGGCAGAATAAAATTCCAGGTAAATTTCTAGGCAATGAATGAACATTGTCTCCTCTTCATCAAACTTAATTCAGCGGCATTCTCAGAATTAATGTTGTGTGCAGAGCACACTGTCAGGTGACACCTCCCTTCAGTCTGGTGGGGCCCATTTCAACAGGCTGCTTTGAAAAGAAGAAGTGATGTCATTTGTACTGTTCAAAGTTATACAAAATGAGTGAGAAGCAGACTTAGCAATTGCATTCACTCTCTGTTAATATAAATAGAGAGGCCCAGCACAACTCGCTGTCTGACATTTATCCTAGGGATCCAAGTGCAGATGAGCTCAGGACTTTACTGAAAAGCAAAGTTTTGCTTTTCCACTGTAAGCACTTACCTGTAGTGTCTTATGGTTCTCTGGCTACCTTTGGGCCAAGCTGCATGGGAAAGTTGCTTTTCTGGACCTCTGGTGAAGGTGCCTGTCTGTTGGCATGATGATACTCAGGTCTGTAGGGAGCCCTGCCCACCAGAAACCAACCCCCAGTGTTTCAGAGCACAAAATATTTCAGATAAAGTTCTCAGGCTGTTGCCAAAGGTTTGGGAAGGCACTGAGCTCTGGTGCTTCAGTGCTTGTGGGTCTCACACCGAGTGTCCCAGGGAGGTCTGTAGTCATGAACGCTTGCAAACAAGGGTCACAGCCGCATGCCCTGAAGTGGGAGGCCTGTGGGAATGGCAGGATGGGGGAGATCCTGTCACTTTGTGTTCCAGGTCTCACTGACATCAATAACAAGAACAAAAAGAGAGTAGTCTCCATCAGCTCAGACCCCTCAGTCTCATGCCATGCAGAGATAGGTAGAGCAACACGTGTCAATTCATTTCTTATTAGTGCCTCATTTATGTGGCACTATTGCTTTTTAGCTCTTTGTCCACTACGGTAAGAACATTCTGTGGTTCCTTTGCCACATTGAAGGCAGGCTTTACACTTCTCTGTATTTGCTGCAGGATGCTGTACACAAGTTCACCTGAGATTTGAAGAGCAAACACTGTCTAGTGATTAGCAACCACCAGTATGGTGTTGGGGTACTCTGCAGGCCATTTATCTGGGAATATTTATCAGCAGAAGCCAAAGGTGCTTAGGTAGTAGGGCTGCTCATTTATAAATGGTGGAACGGAAATCTCAGTTTACTCTGGTACTACACAAGGTTTTCTAAATTAATTCCCTCCAGCTAGAAGATGGTGTTACTATTTCCTATCCTTTCCTCTAGGATAGCACTGCCCCTGCGTGCAGCCGTCCAGCTGAGGATCTCTGTGTCTTGCAACAATAGGGGAAAAAAATGCCGATGAGTGCTTGTCATAGTGAAGGGATGTGAATGATTGTGGGGGAATAAGTGTATCCAGATTACAAACATCTTTAAATCCAGATTGTTTGAATACAAAAAAATATTTTTAAGGTTTCCCTATGCCATGCCCCTGCCTCTGCCAACTTTCGCTGTGTCACAGAAATTGCACAGTGTGGTGCCTAAGTGATGACTGAAATGTTTACGTGCCTGTAACTTTTTGGTTCCACATGACTTTTTGGTAACCCCTGCACTGCAGTTCCTCCCGTGATGTTCAGTAATTGCTCCGAAGGCTCTGGTGGAGGCCTGCTTTATCCAGTGTCTGTTTGAACTGCTTGGCAGCGCCTAACAGGGATGTGTTGTGTAATGCAACAACTAATCCAGTTACCCCTGGTTGGAGCCCCAGGAGGCTCCAGCCCTGAGCTCAAAGTCCTGCTAAAAATAAGTAATGGTTTCACCTGTTAGCAATGAAAGCAAAATAGCTGTCTGCTTGTCTGTTCAGTGAAAGGGAAAGAGGGGCGTGTGGGGGTGTGTGCGTGTGTGTGTGTGTGTGTGTGTTCAGAGTTAAGGCAGAGAATTTTTTAGGGCTTCTTTTTAGTTTGTTCATTCTTCTTTCACCCTAGGGCTGCTTGCTGGGCAGTGATGGTGGTGCTGCACAGTGGACATCACCATTCACAGCAGAAACAGGTCTTCATGCCTGACCAGGGCTTGAAAGTGTTCAATATATCCCCCCTTTTATCCCACTAGGTCTCTCTTGGCTCTGCCACTGTTTTGTGCACTGATAAGTGGACTTAAGAGTTTGGGTGCATCCCCTCGAGAGGCTTTGCTTTACTGGAGAGCTGAATGGCAGCATTGCTAGAAACAAGAGATCATCCATAACCAAGCTTAGGGGGAGTATGTGCAACCCCTCTGGACAACATCTTTGAAATGAAGTATTATATGGAAGTCACAGAGCAAAGATGGATTTATTAAATGCACCATATTTGCAGAGACAAGACAATATCTTTAATTATATCTGCTGATTTTCACAGGGAAAAGAAACACCATTCCACCTCCTCCTTTGGGTTTGCAATCGCTGCCTCAGCACCAGGGGATTGAAGCTGGGGGCGCTTCCAGAAAAGCTGGGTCCTGAGAGGGTTTCCTCCAAGGGTGGGGGGGCCTTCCTTTTTCTGTTTCCAAGCCAAACAACAAACCTTCAGACTCTGGGAACAGGAAGGTCACCTCTACAAAAGTAGCAAGAAAAAGTCAAAACTGCAATTTGGAT